TATTTTTACATTATAATTTTTAACTTGATACTAATAAGTAACAGAAAAGTTTGCTAAAATGTAATAGGTAGATTCAATATATTAAAAGCTTAGTTTGATAGTTTCTTGTAACTAATAGAATAATAGCCTGTTCACAATATTAAAAACATGTTAATAACAAGTTTTGCATCTGTACTTTATGTAATCTTTAAAAATCAGCTATCAGAATAAAAAAAATCAAAAAATATCAGCTTACACTGATATTGCTATTGGCAGTCTGATAGTAATATCAGAATAAACTAATATTTTATGATATTATTAGTTTATTTTAATATTACTATCAAATTGCAAAATAGCAATATCGGAGTAAGCTGATATTTTCCTGATTTTTTTTTATTAATAAATATAAGATATTTGTCATACAATCAAAAATAACAAGATATTTTTTCATCAGAGTTTATATTACTTCATGTGCTGCATAGCAGCACATGAGTAATATAAGCTCTGATGAAAAAAATTTTCTGTTATTTTTGTATAACCAATATTGATATTATTGTTTATATTATATTAGCATATGAAATTGTTTGTTGTGATATTTTGCATAAATGATAATGTTATTTTATAACAAAAATATTAAATCAAAAAATTTTACATGATCATATCACATGAACAATAACATAAAATATTGGTTTATTCTGATATTACTATCAAACTGCTAATAGCAATATCGAAATAAGCTGATATTTTCCCAATTTTTTTTATTAATATCAGAAAAATATCAGTTTCTGATATGTCTTTGATATTTACTAATCATCTATATTCCAATATGTTTTCATTTAACCTGTGATTACCAGTGGGATTCAAGCTCTTGACATGCTGCTTGGGATAACAACTTGACAACTTCACTATATCACCATATCTTATTAAATAAAAATTAAATTTATATAAACTGATTTATTTATATTATTTATTTCTAAATAAAAAAAGAGATCTACTATTTCCACTATGAAAAATTGCTATTTCCACCATGATTATACAAGATTTTCTATTTTTAATATTTAGTATATTTAGTATAAAAAATATTATGGATGATCGTGAAATCAGATAATAGTGAAATTTGGATCTATTTTATATATGATTTTTAAAATTTTTTAGGACCTTTTTTGTTGGCTTTTTTTTTATTGTTGAGTTAGAATTTAGGGTTAGAGTTATTAGTAAAAGAGTATAGATAGATTTTGGTAAGGCTTATATTTTCAAGTCAAGACCTCTAAATTTCATCATCATCTGATTTTACAATCATCTACAACAAAAAATATAATAAGTTAATATAAAAAAGAAGTTTTTATTAAATTAGAGTCTGTTGAGCTTCTAAGTAAAGTTGTAGAGGTGATTTTTCTAGTTCTAATAGTGGTTAGATTATCAAAATTGGCCTTGTGGATCCCAAGTTATTTAGAATTAAAGGCGCAAATATAGAGATCTGCAAATTGGTGGTTACACAAAGTACTAAAGAATATAATACTTTGTAACCACCAATTTGTAAATCTTTATGTTCACATCTTTAACCCCAAATATCTTGAGATCCACAAGGCTAATTTTGATGATTTAACCACTATTAGAACCAAAAAAATCTTTTTTACAACTTTACTTAGAAGTCCAATAAACCCTAATTTAATAAAAACTTTTTTAAGGGTAGAGTGTATATAGATCATTTTTCATATGATCTGCATAGTATATTGAATTTTTACATAGTAAATAAAAAAATACTTCTAATTAAACTTTTTAATATCTCAGTTAATTTTTATCAAATTTATATGATATGTAGTTTAAACTAGTTTGTTTATAATAGTGAAGTTGCAGAATGTACATTGCTTTAAAAAAAATGAACTTTATATATAATTAAAGTTTCCAGGGTCACTATATGTTTTTCTAGGATTACACTGAAATTGCTAGTTCTGATTGGTTGAATCATATGATGTTTATATGTAAATCATATGATATCATATACACAAAGTTGATGTACAATTTATTTTATATGAAATTAAAAATTTGTATACTCTACCCTTAATTTTAAAAAAATTGATTTTTTATATTAAATCCTTATGTTTGTGTCTTTAACTCCAAGTATCTTGGATTTATAAAGCCAATTTTGATAATCTAACTACCATTAAAACCAGAAAAATCTTTTCTACAACTTTACTTAGAAGCTTAACAAACTCTAACTTAATAAAAATTTATTTAATTTTAAAAAAAATTAATTTAAATTCAAATATCTTCAATAACTAAAAATAGAAAATCTTGTGTAACCATAGTGGAAATAGCAATTTTTCATGGTGGAAATAGTAGATCCCTAAAAATTATAATTAATTTTTTTATATTTATTATATAAATTTACATGATCAATTAAAACATTTTTAAACAATTTAAAATCAAACAATCGTAATTTTAAGAAATTTGCTATCCAAATAGAGTAATAATTTGACCAAGAAAATAAACAATTATCGAAAGTGTCAATTTTTGAGCATTACTCTTTTTAAGCAATTTAAAATAACTATATCTCCTGCTTTTATGTATAATTATCATTCAGTTATTTTTTTTAAATCGACTCCTATCTCTGTAATTCTGAGATATTTAATTCAATCTGAAAATTTTTAAACCGGTTAATCTCTATTTTGGACTTAAAAAAAAAATCTTCGGGCATACCTTTAAAATTTTTTTTAGCCTAAAAGGGCCTAAAGGTTTTTGAGCAACAAATTTAATATAAGAATTTCTTGTTTTAGTACAAACTCTGCAGTAGGTAAGTTCTTTAAGAATTTGTTTTTTTATTATGAAATTACATAGTAATTGTTATTTAATAAAAATATTAGATTTGAGCTTAATATCGACGATTCCATAACTAAAAAAAACCGATATGTAGTTTATTCAAGGTAACAATTGTTGTTTGTATAACTATCTTAGATATTGGGTCTATATGTGCCATTTATTATGATAACTGAATAATTTATCCGAATTTCTAATATTTCGAACTGGATTTTTTTAATCTATATTTTCTAAATGGATATTGCTAACTAGGGCTCCGCATGGACAGGGTAGGTCCGGGTAGTAAAATACCCTTATCCTGCCCTTGATATAAGGGCTTAACTTATTTAAACCCTACCCTTGCCTAGGACCTAAAACTTAATATCCTAACCCGGCCCTAAAATTATGGGTAACCCACGGGTACCCGTGGGTTACCCATCCTTCAAGATAATAATTAAATCAAAATCTAGTTTATAATCGATCAATTTATACTTTTATTATCATGCTATTAATTACTTTTGATTATTAATCTTAATTATTCGTTTATTTTTATGATAGCACTTCTTATAATTTTATTATATTTTCCCTTCAAAAAATATTGGATGTCCTTTATGTTCGTTCATTTATTTTCGCAATTTTCAAATTATTTGCATTCATATTTCTTAACTCTGCCCGACATAATGTACTCTGACCTAAATTATATATACTTTAATTTTCTTATATAAAATTTAGATAGGATAAAATACGCATGATTCGGAATCATATGCATTAATGCACATAATTGAGTAATTATGTGCACGCATGAAGCCTAACTCTAATCATACGTACGTACTTCTGAGATTTGTGTAAAGTAGAACGATCAAGAGCTATGAAAATATCAAATAGAAATATATTATGGGTACCCATCAGTACCCTGGGCTGGACAGTAATACTACCCTAATCCTACCCGTCTATACAAGGGTTTATATTTCAAGTCCGGCCCTTACCCTAAACTCAAACATCAATATCCTAATCCGATCCTCACAGGACTACCCACAGGGTACCCATGGGGTAGTCCAGTCCTTTGCGGAGGCCTATTGCTAACTTGTCCCCTGGTTAACATAACTACCCTATTATTATAACTCAAAAATTGCTTAAATAACTATGTATGGTGTACTAAGTAAAAATGTTCAGCACTATAAAAAACCTTACCATAGCATATTACTAACCCTAATCCTAAATTTAACCTTTATTTTAATATTAATTCCAATTTTAATTTTAAAATTTAAGTATAAATTATAGGTGGTTAAAATTTATAATTTTAACCAGGGGTTAAAGTTAGTTAAATTCTTTCTAAATTATACCTAATTCGATATGTATTAATTAGAGAAGTGCTATCGGTTCCTTAGCCACAGAACTATAACTCAAGTTATGGCTTAAATAATGGCTTAAATCATAGTAGATCCTGGCTCTAGCTGCAGTCGATATCTTAAGCTATGGCTTGAAGCTGGCTATAGCTTTAAAGTTCAAGTCATAACTCAGACCATAATTTTAATTCTATTATGCTATAATCTAAGTGATGGCTTATACTGTAACTATTAAACCATAATTTGGCTTCAGCTGCGGTTCTTTAGAGCCAAGTCAAAGATATCTTAATTAACTATTGCAGATCTATAGCGATACCATTGCTATTGGTGAATGAACTATCCTCCACTTGGCCAAGTTGATGAATCGTTCTTGCTATATTATAAACAAATTAAATCAAATTTATTACATAGGCTTCAAAAACTGCTTAATGTATACATGGATTTTAGGAAATTATTATTTTTTTTAAAAAAAAAATAGAATTGCATGTAATTCATTTTCTTAAAATTTTCAAATATTATTTTTTTTTTAGAAATAGGTAGCAGTATTATTATTAATGCGATATATTAATAAATTTTGCTCATTGATTAAGAGAGCAAGAAATTAATTATAAAACTTTTAATAACATTTTGACGAATAGGTGAAGATATGTATAATTGCTTTCATGTATATATTTTGCATCACATAAATTTATAAAATTGCACTTTTTTGGTCAATTATGTGTCATATTAGGACAATTTTCATAAAAATTGCATAAAAGATTCTTAAAATGAAAAAACCTGTGAAATCATACATAAATCAAAAATAATTATCGTTATATCGATATTTAATTAATGTCAAATTTTTTATTATTATTATTTATATCTCAAAACTATGATTGGCTAATTTTCAACCGGTGCCATATTGCCATAGTACCAGTCTTCTTCATTTGGGTCTTTACCTTCAATAACTTTTTTGATTGCGTGAATTGCAATATCTTCTTTTAAGTCTTTAAATTCAATTATTTTTTTGATTTTGTAAAGTACAGAGTCTTCATTTAAGCAATTTTTGAGTTATAATAATAGGGTAGTTATGTTAACCAGGGGACAAGTTAGCAATAGGCCTCCGCAAA